GGGGGGGGGGGGGGGGGAAGATGGCAGTACTGTGCTCCCAAAAGGGGTAGGGCATTAGGAAGAGAGGGCTGGGCTAAAGGATACATCCCCCTCCCCCCCCACACCAACCCTTCAGCGCTGCCAGGAGAGCACTGCCTGGGGTTGAAGTGGCATTTAAAGGTCCCGAAGCTCCGGCCACCACTGCTGTCATAGTAGTAGTGGCTGGAAGTCCTGTGCCCTTTTGAATTGCTGAGCCCTGGGTCAGATACCCCCTTTGCTCTCCTCCTCCCTCATTGGCAGGCCTACATGCTGCTACCCTACAGTATAAGAGAAAGGCTGAACATAAAAAACATGCACAGACTGGTCATTTTGTTAATTGCGTCATGGTGTCTTCTGGACGGGCACACCCACCTCTCTCCAAATCAGTTCACGGTCTTATTCATGGGAAACTGCAGAATCTGCTGCGGCAAAATTTAGAGGTTTATTGCACCTGAGAATTGATGTCTATGCCCCATTATCCTCAGCTGAAGTGGGAGGCATGATGTTACCACAACTTGCAACAGGCCCCAAGGACCGTTCTGTAGTCAATGGACAAATGGAATGCAACAACACTTCAGACAGCCTGGTCTCCAACATGTGCCCCACTATGCCAGGGCTGGGCATGATGGCACAGGGCCTACTCTGCAACACCTGGAGTCCCTTACACCAGTGGAATCCTCAAAACGGTGCGGAGTAGTTTTATTGGGCTGAGGAATCTGGGCTCATGCCTACATTTCTGCCACCTCATCTTTAATCATTACATGGCAAACCTAGGGCATCACTGTATATACTAAAATTCTGCTGCTCTAGCAGATCCTGTTAATGAACTGCAGCAAGAGGCAGGACAGGGAGATGATGTGGTAGCTCTATATTCCGAACATTAAAAGAACAATTCTTATGAAAAGATGCTTCTTACTCCTTTATTAAAACAGCTGATGATGCTCAAAACGTCAAGGTTACCCAATTACTACATTAACTGGCTATCTGCAAAGAGCAGTCCAACTCAAAAGAACGTTATCATTTTTGAGGGGAACACTGCAAAGTTTCACAGTCTAAGATGTGGTCTGAGGGCCGGGGAGGGAAGACATATAAGTCACATTACTGAAACAGTGCACTGGACTAGATACTCTTGCTTACAGAAGAAAAAACACTGCAGGTAGGTAGAGAGAAAAAATGTTCATGTTGTATTACATGCAGGCTCAAAGTATGTGCTCCAGAATTCTCACTCACATAGCATGAAGACTAGAATTGCATGACAATTTTCAGAGGAGTAGAGAGGCCTCTGTAATTTCCACTCCATGAATCTGATAAAGTGGGCTTTTGTCCACAAAATCTTTCAGCCAAATAAATCTGTTACTCTTTAACATGCTACAAAGACTCTTTGTTGTTATAACTCCATGTTCATCCTAGGATTGTAAATCCAAATTTGGGTGAAGACACATGAAGAGTTGTGTTTTCAAAAAGATTCTCCCCTGTGTATCTTCTAAATGGGTACTGGCAAACAACTGAATGTAAAACAAAAAAAATTAACAAAACATGTCCACTTTCTGATAGTTAGGAAGGTGACCCAGGAGATAAGGCAAGGTAATTGTCAGCCACTACATGAGGGGACTCCAGGTGTCACTTATGCTCCAAAAAGGCTGTTGGAAACATGATATATAAAGTATACAGAACTTCACTGTGAAGAGGTCAGAGCTGATACATACACAACATGCCTGACACTAGCCCACAAAAGCAAGGATATGAAAAGTTAACCTCCCTGGCAGTATATATCTTCTCCTCCTTCACCTACAGGCACATACTTTAACGTTATTACAAGTCCCATGCACCACTAATGAAACTTTTCCCTCCTTCAACCGCCCCCTTCTCAACACACTCCTTCACCTTGCCTAACACAATTGGCTATGGAGGTTTGATGTTGTCCTATGTTGTGCTGAGTAAAAGCAGTGATGAAGTTTGATAAAAGTGGTGATGAAAGGCTGGGTATCCTTAGGGAACCAAGCAACGGTTGCAAGGTGCAGTGGGAGGCTATGTTGGCTCATCACTAGGGGACTCCAGCTGCTGCCCTGTTAAGGAAGATTGATAGCTCCAGTGAAGCAGCGCAAAGGAACAGGATTGGAGACTAGGGCCATGTCTGTAACGCAGCTGTGCTGTTACAGGGCACCTTAAAGCAGATGCTTCCTATATCAGCGGAAGAGGTTTTCCCATCAACGTGGATAACCCACTTCTCCAAGAGGTGGTAGCTGGTCCTAAGCAGCATAGCTAGATTGAGCTACATTTTTTAAGTGCAGACCTGACCTAAGACTTGGCCCACAGAATACAGCAGAACTAAAGCCACCTCTCTGAGTAAAGCGGTGTGTTCTCCCACTGTAAAATACAATGCTACAACTAGAAAGGGATCTCTCTCTCAATCTGGGAATGCAAACAAACCTGGACATGATTTACTACCTAACGGATAAAACTGTAACTTTTTACATGCAGCCCGACTGTATGTATATTCAATGTAACAACATCTTCGTGGGTAAAATGTAAGGCTTATTTTATATCAAGAAGCCGAAAGATAATAATGTGCAATAGGAAGAACTGAAAATCTGAAACAGGGCACTGTATTCACAGTGCACCATAATGGTGCAAAAGAAATTTCTACTAGAACAGATACTTCTTTTAGGCCAAACCCGCTCAAACATCTGGAAATTAAAACAGGAGGGAAAACTGCAGGTTTATATTGAAAGAAAATGATAGGTCTCAACTGCCTGTCCAGTAACTGTGAGGTCAAATGTTGATAGATTAGCTGGCAACGTTATTTTTAACCAACCTCCCTATTAAAAAGGTAAACTGGGTTTCATTTTGTGGATCTGGTGCATAAAGGACCATCTGTGACAGCTAGAAATCTAAGGGAAAAGGTTATGTTTTCAAATCTTTGCAGCCAGAACTTGTGTTTTGCTTAAGCTAACCACAGCTGCCACAGTGAGGGTACAGAGAACCACCCATTTCCAGATATTACAGCATAGGAGGGGCTTCCTGGATGCCAAGTGTGGTGGAGTTATTTTTTTCTCTCACTGCAACTACTATGACCGAGCACATCAGACCAAACAGGCAGTTAAAAAGTGTAATAAGTTCTTTTGTTTGGCAAGGTCTTCTACCTGCATAGCATATATACTAGCCAGAACTCAGCCTATTTCATACTTCCATACTGTTACAAAACACGACAGAGTACCTAGAAATATTTTAAGAGTCATGTGGTGCCCCCCCCCCAAAAAAAAAACTGAGCAGCAGGTGTAACTGCCACTGGCCACATTTGAACTGGGACCTCTGGAGCTGAGTATAAGAGCCTCTACAGCTTGAGCTCTCAGCTTAGGCTCTAGAGCTCCCTTTTTCTTATCTCTTGCTGCAAGTGGTTTAAGTGCCACTACATGGCACTAGGTGTGTGGGTTACACAGGGAGCAATCTTTGATCCAGAACAGCATTGGTTCTTCTTTTTGTAACACCTCAACTAAACTCAGTCAGTTCTTAAAGTAGGCTGCTTTTAAGAGCTATTTCTCAGGATTGTTTTTAGAATCACAATACTTACTTTACATTTACAACCAGTAGTTTTCACTATGACCACAGGTAATAGTTCAAAAGGCAACAAGGCAGTGAAAAGAAAGTAGCAGAACCTGATTTATGTATCAGTCGCATAAGACAGATGCTTTCATTCCACCTCTTCCTTCCCTGAAGCTAAATATTATTTATTGTCTGAATAGTTTATTCTTGCTTACACACACATGCGCACACAGATCCCATCTCTGATCTGTTAGTACCTGCACAATGATGTTCCCTGAAATCGTGGCCCGTTTCCATATTCGCGCTCTGGTTAATGCCTCATTGAACAGCTGTGCCAGTTTCCGCTCCATCTCAGCCTGAAACACTTCCTTTTGAATTTGCTGAGTGACAACACCCAGAAGAACTACATTAAAAAAAAAAAAACAAGAACAAATTAGAAGGATGAGTTTAACAAATTAGAAGGAAGCATTAGTTCTCAGTGTGTTTTATGCAACTTCAATTGTAGGTCTTGGATCATTTTCTGGTGCCCTCTGCTGGACAATTTAAGCATGGCCTTGAAATATTCACTCACTAATCCCTCCCAGCTCAGGTGGAAATTGCACCTTGCAATGGAAGAAGGGGAATTAAAAGGAAAAAAAAAATGCTGAACCTCATGGGAGCTAGACTGGTCCAGAACAAATGCAACGAGGGACCGACCTTATCTCCAAAAAAGCTACATATATGAAAACATAACACATAATCAAAACACAAGTTGAAGGGAATAAAGAATTCAATGTTATAACCAATTCTGATTTACTTGCTTTCAATGTTAACCATAATTTTCAGTTCACACGTCACAGAGTCAGTGGTGAATATGGATAGGGGATATAAACAGGATGATAAAATAGGATAGAAAGAACAGAACGGTAAGGAGAAAGTATATTGTGATTGCTGTTTCTCGTCTCAGATAGCCCTGAGCCTAAGTCTACAAGTCCTCTACTGCACAGAAACTGGTTAGCATGAGTAGCTGTGACAATCCGGGAGGCAAGTGCTGTAGAGCAGTCAAGCCAGTTTCAGTTAAAGGGATGACATTAAACACCATGAAGGAATACCACGCTGAGCAATGCCAACAGCAGCAGCCTTTTTGGATCCAGACAGGGTCTAACGTCCATGGGCCCATGTACTAACTTGGAAGTAACCATACACAGGTAAGGTTCTAAATTCTTTAGGGCTTATTTGTGCTGGGCAGCTGCTTTTCTACTTTGTACCTCACCTTTTTGACTCTGGTCTCCAAGCAAGCTGGTGGCTGGAACACATAGCCCACTCCTGCTATGCTCCTTTTAAAGGAGGTTTCCAATGTAGGCCCCTTAAGCCATATCTGTGGAAGCCTCTTGCCATAACGGTGTTGTCCAAAGAATTCCTCATGGCATTCCCATTTCAGGCGGTTTTAACTTGACCCGCTCTTACTGAACACCCCCATTCCCTGATCTCTCTCTCACAAAGATGAGAGGCTCCTTATCTCAGTCTCCCCTTCTCCCTCCTCCCCCCC